AACATGAGCACATTTAGAGTGAAGTCTATACAGACTCAAGGGCAAATCTTCAATTAGATATCGTCAATATATATATCTAATTAAAATCTTAACGTTCTTTGCTAACTCAAAGTTGTTTTACAAGATTTTCATGGCTGTATTAGCTATGTTACAAATAGTATATGGAAACAGAGCATCTATCAGTTGAGCATAGACCATGTGCCTATGCAAAGCGGACTCAAATTGCACACAGATACAGTTGCAGATACAAATGCAGGGTTGCCAAGCCAACTGAAATTGGGAATTTACTGCGCGCAGCAACTAAAAATAAATACATAAAGAAGGAAAAAACAAAAACTAAAAATTAGTGACCAACTGCAGCGGCGTCGCCCGCGTTGTTCGCTTATTAAACAACAATAAATGTATAAAAAACAATTAAGTATTAATTGTTGTTGTTCTTCTTCTTCGCCTTATGTGACTTTTATGGTTGTATTAACTTGGGCGTGCTAAATTTATGACTGCTCGATGTCCTCGGAAGACGAACAAAAGTGTGTCTAAATATATAAATATATATATATATATATATATATTTATATATATATATATATATATATATAATATTTATATATATAAGTTAATATATATATAGTTTATATACATATACATATATATACATAAATATATATATATTTATGTATATATATATATATGTATATAAACTATATATATATTAATATATATATATTTATGTATATATATATATATGTATATAAACTATATATATATTAACTTATCAGCCTTTATTTCTAGCTTGCTTCCAAGTAATTTCAGAGCATTTCGTAATTCCTGGCAGTTTATCTTGTATTTGTGTTCGACAAGCCCAATTCGATTCGGAAAGGCAGTCAACCTGCTCGATTGGTTATCTTTCAGATATACATATATATTTGCAAATATATAAATATATATATATGGTGGAATGAATGGGTCTAGCTTTCAGGAAGCATAATTGGAAATGAAATTGCAATAAATATATATAATATATATAAGTCTGTATAATAATATATATATTTATAATATGCTAAATAATATCTCAATAAATAAATATACATAAATCATTGTGAATATTAAACAAGGCAAAAGAACATACGAGGTGCGTTCAAAAAGTATTGCAAATAGTTGAATTCTGCAGGCTTCGTAATTTCAATTTGCTCGTTATACAGAAGTATATAAAAGGATTACTTAGTGCTAGGATTTGGAAGATGAAAAGGGCATTGAAGAAGGAGTTTAAGAAGTTAACATAAAATTATTTGGAGCTAACATTGGCATAAATGTTTAATATATAAGGGGAATTACTTTGAAGGGTACAAGAAAGATATTAAAAAATAAATAAATAGAGTTTTTGAAGAAGAAAACACAATATTGGCTAAACTTTTTGAGCAGACCTCGTACATAAAGCGAATATTTAGAATATGTAAAATTGAAAGATAAAGAACCATATAAAACCCCATTCGCAAAGTGAACTTACATATTTAGTGAGGTATTTACAACGAAACTTTTCCAACAACTTAAACAATTAAAGCTAACAAAATCTATTTAATAATTAAACAGTAAAAACTTCTAGATACTTCTTATAGACACACATTAATTTTATGCCTAATAAACCAAGTTTCAAGAGGGTTTCATTGGCAATCGCCCTGAAGTGCCAAAAGCAAATAAACAAATCATAAATATTCGCTTCATTTTGGGGGCACTGGAATCGTCGTGAAATATAATGAAATCGAGCGAGTCTGATAGTAAACACAGTTAAAGAGGGGAAACCCCAAATGCAGTTTGTTGAGCTCTGGCATCAACTGTACTTTGCCTATTTGTTATATATATTCAATGATGTTTTTTATCGCTTCTATGCGATACGAACTCTGCGCTCGTCGTGACGTCAATTGACTTGAACTATCTAATGCTTAAAGCTTCGACTCTTTGGCTCTTCACGCAAATAAAAATACGTCGAAGTCGCGCCCGTAGATAAGCCGGTTTTTTTTATTCCATAATTGTTTCTTTTTTTATTTTTTCCTGAAAGAGCGAGACGATCGCAGTGAGCACCAAATTTGGTAGCGAATTTAGTTGGCTGACGTCACAGAGCTGAGCGGAGCAGAGCAGAGCAGAGCAGACTGAGCTGCGCTCATAGAAAGAGACAGCGAGTGTGAGTGAGATGGACTGTTTAAACCTAACAATTTACGTTGCGTATACGCGGCGTTAATATTAGTTCATCTGATACTCTGCACACATGAATGCTTGGGGCATGTTAAAACTGTAAGATATACATATATATATATTTTACATAATTTTTCAGACTGTTGAACTCATATGTTTCTGGCAATTGAGATGTATATATTTATATTTTTATTTAGATAGCCATGAATTTTGAAAAATTTGAAATCTTAACAAAACAAATTCAGGCCACAACTACCCAATCGTTATATATAACATATATATATCAGTATATGACTGAAATGTTAGCTATATGACAAAGATGCGTATCCAATGTGAAGCTAATCAGAATCAGCTAAGAATTCTATAAACTGTATTTTGCCTGACTCGAAGAAATCTTTTATTCAAATATTTACTCATATATAAGAACTGAAAAGAGTATATTTGTTTTATGCAAAAGTTATATGTTATGCGTGACAAATCAAAAAAGAACTAGATTTACCAAAGTTGTGGGCAGTTAAGTTACTGTAAACTCCCTCTTGAAGGAGGAATTAAAAGTAATTTAATGCTTGTTAAGAGCTTGAGCGTGCATTATGTAGTTGGAAGCGTCCATTATAACAATCAGTTCGATTTGATCTACTACAGAGTATCTGCTAGTCGAGCAGCTCCAGCGTCAGCGCTTATTTAGTTCGGCCTGAAAATGTTAAAGACTGTATTTGAGGCGACGAAAGGCAAATTATGTCATGTTATATTTTGAACGGGCGTTTTTTGGAAAAGCCGTGGGAAATTGAAGGCAAATGTCAAATGTTGCGTGTTTATACTTTCGATTTTCAACGACAATGGCAAAACGTGGCAGGGGGCGTGGCTCTATTTTGTTGGGGCGGGTGGGGCTGTGAAATTCCGAGAAAGCAATTTGGGAACTTGGCTTAGTTTGTTGAACTCCAGTCAAAGGTTGAGTCTGCCGCATGGCGAGTGAAGGTGTGTGGCGTGTGGTGTGAGGCGCTTAGCTGACTAACTGTAATTGAGTTGTATTTGGTGGCCAATTGAAGCGGAAATCGCAAGTGCGCCGCGCCGCAAAGCGGGCGAATCGAGGACAGCGGCACATCTGGCATCGCTGTTGCTGCACAGAAGTGCAGCAGCAGTGAAAGATTTACACGCATCGCTGGCAATGCCAGGCGAACGTGTTGCTGTTGTTGTGGCTGGTGTGGCTGGTGTGGCTCGTGTGGGGATTATTTTGTGACGCGTCATGGCGCCGAATTCCAAGAAAGAGGCGCAGCATTCCGCGCTGCCAGCAACCACTTCGAGAAGTGCGAAAAATGCTGGGCCACAAAGATAAGTTAAAGGAAATCACGAAAAAAAACCAGAGCCAAGTGTATATTAGTGTAAGCGACTGAGCAGCTAATGTTGAACTGTACATGTATCAAGATATATATATTTCTATATATATATGTATGCATCTGTATGTATATTCTATATCTGAAAATCTAAGCTCATTCCCCATCATTAGCTGATCAACCACATGTGTACACAAACATTATATGAAGTTTGTCACATCTACCCGTTTGTATTACGGTACTGGGTATGCATATTTATAAAAAAAGAGTTGCCACCATCGCTAGCCGTGCTCAGATGCCCCCCAAATGGTGCATGACGTGGACCATTTGGCGTTGCGATTGCTCCTTACACTTGGCGCATGCTGTTGGTGCTCTTCTTCTACTTCTTCCCGTTGTTGTTGCTGTTTTGCTTTTTGTTTATCTTCTTGTTGCTTTTGCTTAAAAAATGCTGGGGATTTCCAACGGTTTTCACTCCTTCGTACTTGCATCGCATTCGCTTTCAGCTCAATTCGTCGCACTCAAACGCTCTCTTGGCACTTTCGCTCTACCGCGCGCTCTCTCTCTCTCTCTCTCTCTCTCTCTCTCTCTTTGTCTCTCTTTGAGCGCTTTTTAAGTTGTGCGAAACGTGTTTTGAGTTGAAGTTTTAGCGCTTGCGGCGTTATTTGCTCCTACGCCAGCTGCGCCTATTGTGGCAGCGAGAGGCAGGGAGGGCAGGCCGCTGCTAACTTGGCTTAAATAAGCGCATGAATTCTGGCTAAATTGCGTATGAGTCATCAGCGAGCGTAGTGGCGTGTCATGGCGTAGTTGTAGCCACATTCGATTCATTCATTTCATGCTTTTTTCTGCTTCTTCTTGCTTTTTTTCTTTCTTTTAGTCGTATGAATGAAATTTTGCGCTGTTATCGCAGCTACTTAAAGTTGACTTTGTTTCTTCTTCTTGCTATAGTTGTTATTGCTGCTGATAGGCATTCAAATATTTGCAGTGGCAACAACAGCAATACCTCAACACAGACCTCGTTATATATATAGTTCATGAAATACTTGAGATATTACAGAATGGGATCTTACTTAAGGGAAGTTCCCTTTCAACAGTTAACAGTTGCCTTTTTCCGCTATATAGACTCATTGAACTCTAGATCTATGATAGAAAGAGCTTTGAAAGTCGGAATGCAAGCTCTTGCGTGCTTAAGCTATAGATTTTTATTAAGATGCAATTAATTATTAAATTTTAAGAGTTCAAGCTCTAGGAATTTCCCTTATTGACTATGGAGTTTATATTATTTTGCACCCATGGGAACTCAGGAACTATATAAGCCAGAGACTCAACAATAATTATATGAATTCCACACAAATTTAATTGAATAAATTCACATCCTTTAGAAAAATATATACTAATTACCGTTATACGAGAAGCAATATAACAGAAGAATAAAAAAAGCGTTTGCAGTTCTAATTGGATTATTTTGAACGTAATTTATAGTTAATTTGTCATTACGATTGCTAAAAAAACGTGAAAAGGCTAAAATCACATACTAGAATTCTTACATTAGCTCAGAGGTATTACACGGGTGCGTCAATGTCAGGGACGTCGACGCTGGCGAGGATGACCGTTATGTCGTCGGGCTTGCCACCATCGCCATAGTTGACATTGTTAGCCTTGGCCTTGATCGCGAAAGGCGACTTAAATGAACTGCTCTGGGATAGGCTTTTGGCCAGGTCAACCAATTTGTCGACAGCTTGCTGCAGGTGCTCCATACGCGTCTCGCCGTGCAGCGTTCGCAGATGGTGAATCAACATGCTCTCGGGCACGTTGTCGAAGAGGCCATCAGTGGCCAGGAGCACCAGATCACCATGTTGCAGGTTAATTTCGGAGGTTACCGCCTGCTGGGGCGAATCGCACAAGATGCAACTCATTTCCGAATCCGGCGCCACTGTTAGCTGGTACGGCGTATTGAAGCTGTGCAACTGCTCTTCGGAGCGGTGCAGCACCTTCCCATGGCGCAACACCATGAAGCCGCTGTCTCCGAGATTAGCCGAGTGTAGGGTGCAGTCAGGTCGGTGAAGCGTCACCACGCAGGCGGTGCTGCTGCCACAGACGCTGCCCGGTATTTTCTTCATCTGATCGAAACTGTCGATGAGCAGCTGGCGCGGATTGGAGCCATCGTAATGCGGCTTTCCCGTAAATTCACAGCAATTGGTCATCAGCTCCTGGGCAAAGGCGCCCGAATCGATGCCCAGTCTACGCCAGCCGCCTACACCATCTGCCACGCCCATTGACTCAGCCTTCGGCGTGCTGCTCACAAACCAGCTGTCCTCGCCATACCGATGCTCGTTAACCAAATACATTTGATTCTCGCTAAACTGATCCTTGGAGCTGCCCTGTATGGCCTTAATGAGGCGGGGCAAGCCCTTGGCCTTGTTTATAGAGCTGAGCAGTCGACACCGAAGGTAGGCATAGTTCACCAAGTGTGCGGTACGATTCGATATGTTACGCACAGTGAAGAACATTCTGAAGCTTTGGGTAAAATCACTATATTCTATTTTGTGTTAATTTTTTACATAAAATTTCAAAACTTTTCACTCAAATTTATAATTTTGATTACGCCTCAATAAGCCAACTAAATGAAAATACTTGGGATCCTCACAAATTTCGAAGGTCTTAAAGGAAAATACTTGGGATCCTACAAATTTGCAGACCTTGAACCTATTTAGATAAGTAAGACTAAGTATAGACAATTTCAAAAATATATAAAATACATTTTTTAATTATAATAATATGGAATACATAGAACTATAAACAATATATAATATTATATGTATTCAATCTATAATTAAAATTTTCGAAAAATATATAATACATTTATATTACCATAAGATTATAATAAGATAAAATACATTGATCTAGAAACAATTTTGATATATATATAATTATATTATATGTATTCAATCTTTAATTAAAATTTACGAAAAATATATATAACACTTATATTACCATAAGATTATAATAAGATGGAATACATTGATCTATAAACAATTTTGATATATATAATTATATTATATGTATTCAATCTATAATTAAAATTTTCGAAAAATATATAATACATTTATATTACCATAAGATTATAATAAGATAAAATACATTGATCTAGAAACAATTTAGATATATATATAATTATATTATATGTATTCAATATATAATTAAAATTTTCGAAAAATATATATAACACTTATATTATCATAAGATTATAATAAGATGGAATACATTGATCTAGAAACAATTTTGATATATATAATTATATTATATATATTTAAGCTACATCATCAAGTATGAGTCAAACTTTGAATTTACAAGTGGAGTATAGTCCATAAGATTGTCGTTTGCCCAAGTTCCTAGCAAGTTCCAAATAAATATTTATTTATTTTTTTATGATCCTTGCGTATAGACAGCTTCGGCTTTATCAACAGGTTGCTATCAGATGTAATCGCAGGTTTTCTACTGAATAATTCACTCATTCAATAACATTGTCTTTCCCGGTAATGCCTTTGTTGGCATTTCGTAATCTTATCGGCTAGTTGTGCTGGGCCTACGACACAGCGTCAATGCCTTTGGCACCTCTTTGTATAAATCATCAACCGGAAGTGGGCAGCGGATCCAAAGCATTTTGCTTATCGCAATTGGCCTATCAAGAAGGTATAACAAATAAACAAATGCTTAATGTTGCAAATTATTTATAAACTCCTGATGTAAACTGTTCCAGAACTCACGCGTAGCTTATCAGTGTTCATTGAATATATCAGATATGGATCGCTAGATTCGCCAGAATTTGGCAATTATTCATATATATATATCTATTGGCCACTTGAGCCCTGTCTCAATGTAATGCCATAACTTTCCTGGAATTATGTCACATATCAGACGATTACTATGTGCACTTCCGAGTTTCGTTTTCGCCTTCGATTTTTTCATTTCTTATCAAAATTAACGGCATTGTGGCGATGACGTTAGACGCTCGATTTAACGTTGAATTCCTGGAACAGACGAGAGTGTTCGTCCAAGTTGGCTTTTTATTAATATAACATATATATAATGTATGTATATAAATGGGGGTAAGACACGTAACTCCCGACGGGCCCGGGACCCGCATTTACAATTGCGGTACAGTTGCTACCGCACAGTATAACAGATTGCCATTGCCATGTCTATTTTTGTTGCAGATTTCGACCCTCAGTTCACACAGCTGCGGGTGCATTGCGATAAAAAATCACATATATATATATGTATTTATATAGGGAACATACCTAAGCTAAATCTAGTCGGAGAAATTATCAGCAAGTGCGACCAAACCGCATGTGTTCCATTTAAATGGGTCCTATTTCAGATCGATATCGTATAATTCGTATTGCATACTCATCAATTTGTTTTCACATTTTTCAAATCATACGTATAATGCGCATTATTGTAACCCTATTTCCTTCTATTTATCTTTGCAGGTAAGTAAATCCAAGGGTTACTGCAAATCAATTACTGCAAATGCTTCGTGTCACATGGCCCAGTTCCAGCTCCAATTACAGTCGCCATCGTTAAGCCGGCCCCCTCTGATATCTCACCCTTCCCCTTGGTTGTAAGTGCCTTGATACTCTCTGTGTAAACAAGGTCAGTGCGGACTTTTCTATACCCTGCACACATACTTGTATGCGTGCAGAGGGAGAAGGATTCGATTGGGCAGTAAATTTGAGAATTTGAGAATTTGATTAAGCTGTTATACTGAATCTGGTATATAGATCGTTAACTGTTATACATTGTCAATTGCTATACTGTCATCTGATATATAGCTTCTATTTTTACACTGTTAACTGTTATACAATTGAAATTGGATACATGCATGACGAAATTTAAACTGTTATACACTTAATTTTGTTATACAGTTTTCAACGAAAACATCTACAAATTGCAAGCATAACTGTTATACTCGTATATATATACAAGTGTTATACGCTAGAAACTGTTATACGTATAACAGTTTTGTAAACTTAAGCTTTAACTACTACTGTGTTATTGGACAGCGCTCGCTCATAGTACAGGGTATACCATAGTCTAGCATTGTGTTGAATCTATAGTTTTCGCTAGGGTTTCCTTTGTGTATGAAATTACAAATAGAACGTGTACAGCCGCATGCTCCATCAATATTTGTGTGAAAGCTGACATATCGTAGATAAAGTCAGAGCTAGAGTAAACAAACACCTGCTTGCCTGCCGCACACCTGTAGCCACTGGGGTAGATACAAGAAAAACAAAATAGAACAACTAAATCGAAGCGAATCAAGCAACGGCGCAACATTCGAACGACCCATTTTGGAAGCGCAGCGACTGATAAGGCCAAGTCAAGACCCACTATGGCGGCCTACAAAGGCTGGCCATTGTAATTATGCGTGTGTGTGCGTATGTGTGTATAAGGGACTTTACCTAGGTCTTTAAATATAGTTGCTTATGTCATAATCAAATTGTCTGGCGATAAGATAAAGAAAATTTTGGGGCGTGGGCACGTGAGCCTAAAATGCAAGGCAAAAAGGCTGTCTGGGCTAAGCCCAACAGCCAGAGACGTACACACACACACTCGAGCACAGATACGTATGCATAAGCATGCATACAAAAACAAAAGCTGTGAACGCTGCGCTCAGGAAATGCCAAACGACTGCGAAAACTTTCAACTCACTCAAACGTTAAATTCGCTCTCGGCGCGTTGTCGCTCTCAGCTACTGTGAGAGAGCGAGTGCGCTATGGAATGCGCTCAAAAGTCGTTGGCGCTGGGCGACGGGCATATAAAAGTCGACAGCGCAACGATGACGCATTTAGTTGAAACCCGTTGGCCGTGTGAAACGTTTCGGCAAGTGTGAAATAGAGAAAAAGAAAAAACTGTTAAACTGTTAAGCTGAATGCGAACATTTTTGTGAAGCAAACATAAAACTAGACAAAAACAAAAAATACTGTTCAGTATATTTTGTAAATAATACGCGGCATGTGCGAACGAGTGCGCGAATAATTCTCGGAAAAGCTGACAGCAAAATTAATTTGCACAAAAAAAAGAGGAAAGAAAAACGAAAAGGCAAATACAACGAAAGATACATTTGAAGTGCGCGTTGAATCCAAATCAAATAAAAACAATAACAAAGCGAATTTCGTCAGAAATTTGCATTTGTCATCGGCACAGACGACGGCGTCGCCTGTTGCGCCTATTAAAGGCAATTACTACTTAAACGATATCAGTGAGAATCAAGATACTCTATACACGGCAAACATGACGCTGGACAGCTATAATATCTTCGGCGATGAATATCATCTCTTTAACATGCCGTTATCGCCATTGCCCAAAACGGTAAGCATCCGAAACTGAAAAGAAATAGAAAATGGAAATGGAAAAACAGCAATAGTTAAAGAAAGAAACAGTTGTTTCGCTTATCAAGCAAGTGTAGGGTAAACTGAAATTTCCAGAAGTCTGAGCCCAGTTGTCGATTTGCAGTTTTGAAAACATTTATATAAATACTATATATGTCTATATATAGAAATATATTTGTATGTATATATGCATATCTCTATCGCTGTATGCATTGCTTCTTATCGTTCTTGGAAATTTTGTCGTCGTATACCCTTTGATTTTTACATATTTATTATTCTCCTTTCTTTTTATTTTTGCGCCCCCATTATTATATCGTATTTGATGTGATTTTGCTGTTTTGCAATTGAATTTGTTTGTTTAATGATTAGAGGCCTTATCAGCGCAGCGATTTATGTTCCAAGTTTTATATATTTTTTTGTTCTTTTTTTTTTTTTTTGCTGCGATAATAATATTAATAATTATTGTTGTGTGTGGCAAGTGCACAAATAGTTGAAATAGTTTGTAGGCGGCAACCCACCTAAAGTCCATTTACTGATAACTTACAAATATTTCGAATATTTGTACAGTTATGAAAGACCTTGTTTCTTGGCTTTATTACATAGGTGAAGGGGAGGTCGAAAATTATTTTTTATTTGGCCACATAATTGGAAAATGGAAAAAACATTTGTTAGATATATACAATTTGATTGATGTTTGCTTTATTATAAGATAGTAAAGAATCGAGTTATATAAATAGATTGAAGATAAAGTTATACAAATAGGTGGGTATATTTATTTTGTATTGCTTAAGACACTCTTTTTTAGGTTTAACTAACTATTTCAGGAAACTTTTAATCACCAAATTGTTATATAAAAATATAACAGTTTCCATAACAACTATGGTTTGTTTTTATAAATGTTTATATAACAGTTAAAGTTCGTTTAAATTGTTTCTTTTGAAATATTTAGGAATATGTTTAAGCAAAGCTATAAACACTTTAAAGACAAATATATAACAGTTTGTATAACAGTTTGTTTCGTATAACAGTTAGGGTTTCAACCTAAAAAAGTAAAGCACCGCTTCAAAATTATTTTATTATATGTATAACAGTTTTATTAAACAAAGAATTTATTGATATTTTCTTGTTAATTTTTCAAGTTTATGTGCGTCTTATGTATTTTATGTTGAGCGTAGATTTGTATAATATTTATATACATATAATAT